ATAGTAGATAAATGACTCGCCCAGCATCAAATGGCCTAGCCATTTATTTTTCGCTAGCTAAACCACTGATTACCGTAACACCGAAAGCATAGAGAGCTTAGATTTTGTGGCTTGCTTTTGATGTTAATATATTATAATTGTGAATAAAGTTTTATTACTTAAAAGCAGCGTCGCAGCGATTATCCATCACACTGTATCATCATAACATTGATAGATACATGTGGGTAGTCCGTCCAATACATGCATGGCTACAAAACAAAGTAGATTAATGAACACAGTTGAAAAAATATCATTATATGATATTACCTACATCAAACCTGTAAATGGTTTGTGTTTTGTGCTCATAAAAATGAGCTATGTGCTCAATATTCAGTCAAGTGACCGAATAATTCTCTAAATCTTTCTATTTATGCCTTAACTCGTTTTAACGCCCTCCCTTAGATTACATGTCACGTGACTGTGCTCACATGGAGGAAAGTGAATTCCTTAAAGATTCCTTAAAACGCATTGATTATAAAAAAGTGACTAAAAAGTCACTGACACTTGTCAAGTCGTGCTTTCATATACATCGTTAGTTAAATTAGAAATCTGACATCAAAACTGATAAAACCTATGAAATAAATTACATTTATGATTTTAAATTGAGGGCGGCTTTAGCATGGTTAAATTAGAAATCTGACATCAATACTGATAAAACCTATGAAATAAATTACATTTATGATTTTAAATTGAGGGCGGCTTTAGCATGGAACCACGAGAACAGCATGCACCCCAATGTGCCCCATTTATCAATCATTAAATTACATTGCAATGCACCCTTCGGTCCTTCGTTAGAGAGTGATAATAACTTATCATTGCCGCCATCTTGGATTATCATTACTAAGTTTGTTGTGTGATATTAAAGTGCCATTCCGCATGTTAAACATTGACTTCGAGATAGCTGCATGTCATTAACATACGTACATATGTTATTTAAGATTTTGGCTTAGGGTTTACCCACCCGAAACAAAAAATTATAAATATTTGCTATATGTTCATTCCCTAACGAAGTAATGTGTGAAACAACTTTCAGTCAATTTACTAAATTTATTAAAAACCAAACTGTAAGATTGGACACATGACTTTAGCCGTGACACCACTGAGATTTTCACAGATCTTATAGAAACGATCAACGCACTTCTACAAAAGGAAAATAAAGTGTTAAGATCAAATCCAAATCTTTTTCAGACGTACAATTCACAAAGAATGGCGATATAAACACAGTTTATCTTTAAAAACAACACGAAGCAAAAATTAACGAAATAAACAGGAAATATAACACCAGCTTAAGTGAGTTCAAATATCGATATAATCAATGCAACAAATCATTGTTAAAAAATGATATTGGACAGATATGTTCTTCAAGAAATAAATTGTAGTCAATTAGTGGCAATAAATTAGGTCCGTTGAAATCATTGTAGTAACTGAAAATTTAACCCTACAATGAGTGGTATCCCATCACTGCACACACAATTTCCGAAACCATATTGTTCACGACAACACTATGTATACGACAATACTTTACACGCTAGAAATACAACGTTTAGTCAAGAATATGGCTGTTATACTAAATTCTATTGTATTCTACTTAAAATCAGATGCGGATTCAAAATTAAGAATCAATAATTCTAAGCAAGAATAAAGAACGCTTGATTTTTGCATTAAATTAAAATATCTCACTCACCTCCATCAGGTGAAACATCAACTCTGACGATACCACGTCCACCACCACTCCAAGCATAACCTTTGACAGTAAACTGGTCAGTTCCCTCCTCGAGCAAAGCACCGTTTACTGGCTCACATATGGCAGACTGCACGCGTAGATCTTGTATTGATGGCATGGTAGTAAAGTCTACTGTTTTCTTGTTTGTACTGGGAGAGAATCCTTTGTAATTGTTGCGTTGCCAATGACAACGACTTTCTTCGTCCGCTATCACAATCTTACTCAACCATTTCACTTGGCGAGCACCTACAACACCGGGTATTATGATCTGAACGGGATATCATCGCAAAGGCTATCAACACATCACTGCTAGGATCCAGAGCCTTGCCAAACAATATGGAGGCACCATACGGAGCTTTTGAAACGTCCATATCCAAACCTTCAAACTGTATATGTTTACCAGTGTAGTCTCTTTTTTTATGAAAACCAGCCGCCATTAAAACATCCCTTAAATTGACTCCAGTCCACTTCGCGTTTCCAATAGCACCTTCAGCTCAAGTCAAACCTTTAACTTTTTTAATACCATTCCTTTCCTCTCGTCTATTTCTCACGCATCGAATCGCCACGGTCAGAGTATGTTGCTCAAACTTTGTTTTTAGTTCTTCAAGATCAAAATCAACTGGTTTCACAGCGTTCTAGAGATTGATCTGCAGTCAGTAAGTCTTCGGATCGACCTCGGGAACTAGGATGTGATTTCAGACGTAGAACAGCGTGTTAGAGGTAATGATACTGTCCCCCAGTGAGGAGAGTGGTGTTTCTGCTTTGAACAAGTACAAATGACAAGTTGTTGACGATATAAGCACATAGCAAATATTGTTTTCAGTCACAATGACAATGAATTTGTTGCTAAAATTCGGGAGGAATTCTAAGGAATTCATTTTTCATGATTTAAGCACATAAGAATATTCATGCAATCTAAGCGAGGAAGTTGGGCAAATGCAGAAAGGGTTACGAGAGTGAGTTTACTCAACAGTGAGTGCAAAGCATATTTCTAAATCTAAATAAAAGCTACCCACTTGTACGTACTGCGTAACTATTTTTTGTATTGCAACTGTTAATTACATTTTAAATGTATTGTATTGTATTCAACCGTTTTTCTCATTCATCAGCTCTTCGAAATAGTCTTTCTATCTTCCTGTGATAATTCCGATATTTTTAAAATCATCGTCAATAACACCCTAATCTACTGCATACCTTTTCATTTCTATTCTCTGCTATAGTATGAATCTGCATAAGTAGTTCTCTTTACAGTAGTGTCCACTTCATCATACAAATCATCTTATGTATGCCCTTTGCTATGCATTTACAATATGCTCTAAATTCCTGTGCTAATTTCTAAAGTGCTCTAGCATCCCATTTCTTGTTTAATCTGTTTTTTCTCTGCTTTTCTGCACGTGATTATTTCATCAAGTTTTAGTTTTTGTACGACGGCACTCTCTCAGATCACGTGTTGTATTCTAGTCATCGGACAGCACATTTTGTTCACCCCCACCAGTCACTGAACTCCTCATATTACATTATTTAAATAAGATGTAATCCACCTTTGTTCTCCTACATAAACAAGAATTTGGACTGAATGCAATGTTCTCGCTAAAAGTCTCCAATTTAAAATATCCTCTTCACTTTATAAAACATGTATCATGAAAATGTTTCATTTACCAAGATTATTATAAACAGATATTATATTGAACGTTAACATTTACATGAGAATTGCAGCTGCATAGACAAAAAAATACCTGGAAGAGATACGACGTGGCATATAAACACAGATTGAACTAAAATACCCTTGTGAAATACCTTGTGTTCAATTAAGGAATTTTAAAATATAAACGGCGAAAGTGGTTCGAATAAATTAAAGATTTTAATGCATCTATGATTTAACAATATTGACATGAATTGTGTCGATAATGGCAAATTGTTAAGATGAAAGGTAAAAAACATTAACTTTCGCTATAAGTGTTGCATGACCAAATTAAAAAGTAAAGTGAATAAGTGGTGTAAACAAATTTAATTCAGTGTTTGATGAAAAATAAGGAAATGTTGTTTCTCCTTTCTGATGAGAAACATATTTCAAGTTTTTCTCATGCTTATATTGTGCAATTTATATTTATAAATCAAAGTGAACGCTTGTTATACATTCATTCATTCTATTAAGCTAAAGTCTGAACGATAGCCATAAATCATAATATAGATATTTGCACAAGAGTCTATATAATGCCGCTGCACATTTACATGAGAATTGCAGCTGCGTAGACAAAAAAAATACCAAGAAGAGATACAACGTGGCATATAAACACAGATTGAACTGAAATACCGTTGTGAAACATCTCGCGTTCAATTAAAGAATTTCAAAATATAAATGGCGAAAGTGGATTCGAATAAATTAGAGATTTTTATGCATTTATGATTTAACGATATCGACATGCATTGTGTCGATAATGGCAAAATTGTTAAGGTGAAAGGTTAAAAACAGTAACTTTCGCTGTAAGTGTTGCATAACCAAATTAAAAGGTAAAGTGGATAAGTGGTGTAAACAAAATTTAATTCAATGTTTGAAGTAAAATAAGGAAATGTTGTTTCTCCTTTCTGATGAGAAATATATTTCAGGTTTTTGTCATGTTTATATTGTGTAATTTATATTTATATAATAAAATTGAACGCTTTTAACACACTGATTCATTCTATTAAGCTAAAGTCTGAACGATAGCCATAAATCATACAGGAGATATATGCACAAGAGTCTATATAATGCCGCTGTACATTTACATAAGAAATGGAGAAGTTCATTGTAGATATGCAATTTAGAAATGACATCTCATACTAATTTTACATGCAGAGATGTAAAAATAAAATTTCATTTCTACGAGTTCTCCTCCATGCTATTCTCTCTCACAATGCCGCAAATATTTAAGAATTTGAGCGAAAGGGCTGGAAAATTCTTTATTTGGTGTTATGAAATGCAAACAAACCAGGCGAAATGTTTCACCATAAAGTAATTGTAAATACAAACTGTTGTGTAGTTAATAAGTCTTTCATAAATGTGTATTATCTGTAATCCAATACATAAGATTGAATATATTAAGAAAATATCTGAAAAATGTTTGAATTCCAAATCTTTTCATGTTTTTATTATTGTATACTGAAAAATTTAATTACATCCGATGCTCTAAAAAAGCTTTTATCCATTGAATTTGTCTTGCAGTGCATTGAATTGCAATAATTTGTATTTGTATAGTATCACTGTATATTGAAACACAACGGCAGTACTCACCCACTGTGTTTTATAATTACATTGCTCCAATGATGACTTTGCGAAATTTTAGTAATTTAACTAATGTAAACATTGTATGCAACATTAGAAACGCGGAGTTTTTAGGTTTATCTACTGATCATATTTGACAACAAACGTATCAACCAAATTTTTTAAGACAACCAATTAACGACGAGAAAAGATAAGGGAAGATTTCAATTCTTTGAGGTAATTACTCAGATTGAAAATCTCGGTTTAAAGTATGTGAATACATATATTCAAAACTATTTCTTTGTATTTAACAATTTTATATTGATCTTATCGCGTTACTTAAAGCAATAATAGAGTCTGAGATAAGAGGCCCTGAAATAAATATATCTACGTTTGACATACACATTAATTTTGTCATGGCATAGTTAAATTGAAGAAATAGAACTCAATATTTGAATAATTATATATTTACATTGTATTTTATGGCGTTTCATTTGGTGATTAGTTAGCATAATTAGTCCTTTATGTTGAAATTAGACCTCTTTTCATAACTGTTTTGATCTGCTTCGAACAGAAAACTTTGTACACATTAAGAGTTGCATTCATATACAGCTTTCGTTAAATTTAACATTTCTTGAATTGAAAAACTGATGTCGTGATATTTTCTGGCATCTAGCTACACCGCCTCATACTTAAAATTGCACTCGTAGATTTCATTGTCTAAAACTTTAACATAAGAATTATAGTAACATTTATTAAATAAATCATTACTTATAGAAAAGAGAGAAGACGTAAGGGAAACCCATATTGCACAGAAACTGAATCATATATGATTTTTAGCCTTACTTTGACTGTGTTTATGCAATTTGGAAAAGTTCTTTGAAAAAAAACATGACAAAAAATTTTTGGGGAGCAAATAGTTGTGCTTTGGTTTAAACGTAGAGATTATAAATAATACTAAAGGTGGCGTATTGTCTGTACTCTTAAGATTAATAGGCGTTTTTTTATTTGGGGGAGGTGCCGATTTCGGCATGTCAAATTATAGTGGCGGACTAGCTAGTATGATTTGTTTTGAATAATATAAAGCTATTCATCGAATATATTATGTGTGTAAGTATCATATTTACATCAATTTGTTGAATTATATTCTTCTTTTTATCGTGATCATCAATGACTTATTAATGGTGCTTAAACCACCTTTGTGTTGTTAACAACTTTCATAGTTGCAAGTACTATTAGCTACCAAAAGACAATTGGGCGTAATGCCTTTGCGTATTTCGGTTTGAATATCAAACATTTCAAATTGTATTCAGGCTTTGTTAGCAATATTTACAAATGAATTTATCTTTAAACTTCCAATTATGTAAAAGTTCAAATTTTTACAAAAGATTTTTCTGCCCTGCCAAGCTAATTAAGAAGATCTTTTGCCTAATTCAAAAACAAAGAGGTTACAAACTACTTATGTATTTAAAATCTACACCGGAGAAATGTTGAAAATGCAAATACTTGGTTAGTAAAAAATTCATCACTGTACACATTCATACCAGCTTCATTCAGTCCTGACAAGATTGTATTTAGTTGATTTAGTACAATCAACCTCTTATTCTCTTCCTCCAGCATTTGTACTTTCTCTGCAACATTGCTTTACACTTTTTATATCGTGAGATCAACTTCTGAGGGCATTTAATCCTTTTCTTCGACTTCGAGCAGTGCATGATGTGAAAGAAATGCGATCATTGTTCATTAAAAGAGGGTCATCAACATGTAAATCAAAATCAATTGCAGTCCCACTTGTTGTTCCAAGTTCGGTCTTTTAATAAGAAAACGCGAAATTTTGAGAAGACAGTCTTTTGAAGTGACGCACAATCTTAAAACAATTATCAGTAGCTATAAATATAACAGGAATTTCAAATGTGTGGAATTCGTTGTTTTGACAAAACTATCAATTAACTCACCGCGGCAAAATTTCTATTGAAGTATCAATTTTCATGCAATCAATCACATTTGCCATTTTTAGATTTTTGCTTAAGAGAAAATCAAAGAAAATCTACAAATCTTGTGTATTTCAATAGATTCCAGTTTTGATACACATTAACTGTAAGCCTACACACAGTCATTTGTTAGCTGCACAAAATGCACGTGCATTTTTTCTACCAAAATGTGCGAGTTAGAGAATTTCACGTAGAGTTACTTGACGAGAATTTGAAAAGAATCAATTGAGAGAAAACTAGATAACTTTTATAAACATTCATCGGTATGTCGTGTAGCTAAAATCATGCATTCAATATTCATATTGAAACGTTGTTAGCAATAAAGGTGGGCATGTGGTTCATCCAATAAAATACTTCACTCAATTTTTTGTCCTATCGCGTAAGTACATTTTAATCATAACAACTTTGCGGGGGTTCGACAAGCTATATTTATTTCATTATTTTCATTTCTATATCATTCCTAAAAGAAGAGGAAAGCTCAGCACAGCTCTTCAGAACACAATCAAGAATTTACAAAACTTTTGAACTGATTCAGGTAACTCAACCAACTTCTTGAAATTTCAATTTTAATTTATCACCTGTATCACAATATCATTGAAAATACTGACATAAGCTAAAAATGACTTTTTATCAATTGTGAAAATCAACTGTCAGGGACAATTACAATATATTGTTTACTTCGTTTAGTGACACAACAAAATTATTTAACAAATTTTAGTTCATAAACCAAATCTTTTACATTTTCGATGAAATTTTCAAATTTGAAAATTATTGGGAAAGGGTGCTACACCCCAGAAATATCTTACAGCAATTTTATCTTCTTTGCTCCAATCAGCTAACAGATTGGGAACTAAAAACTGTTAAAAGAGGTGTGTGATATGCTCAATAATAATGACATCATAAAATTTTTAATCACAATAGGTAACTCAAAGACAATGGCAACGGCACAAGACAAAGATGAACAGAAGGAAATTGAACATCTGAACATAAAACTCCTAAACCATCTTAAAAATATTCCGAAAGTGGAGAATTTTGCTGAATGTCTTCACTCTATTTACTACATGGAATTAGCCAGCTCAGTTAAAGACAAGTATGTTGACGACTTTAAGGAAATCCAAAAACAACTAAGAAATGATGCATTAATTTTTTTAAAAGTTCTCCTGCGGTTAACGGAAAATATGTTAACGTATATCACAAATTTCTTTGAAGATTACGATGATTCGTACGAAGATTGGAAAAAGGAAATAGAAGGTACTCTTAACGATGTTGAGGAAAACGCAAAAAATGCACGAGTAGTTGGATTGCTAGCTGAGAAGTTAGCGTCAGTAGCAAAAGATTATAAGAAGCAGACCGAAAGTCTTCTCAAAAAAATGAATTCCGAAGACAAATTCCAAAAACCTATAGAAGACCTCAAAAAGAAAGCGACTTTATGTAAACAGAAAACAACTGACAGTAGCAATCCATTTACTAAATGGTACAATAACAGAATGGAAAGAAAATTGTTAAATGAAGCAGCTTTATTGAATGATGAAAAAGAGAAATGGTTGCAAGAACACTTTTCAACCGAGATGAATGATATGTTAAATGCATTGAGCAATTTCATCACCAGTATTAACGGAATAGCTACTTTCTTTTCTAACATTCACAAAGATATAGAAAACTGCCGGAAAGCGAGCAAAGTGAGCAACGTGAGCGAAAACAGTATAGTGAGCGTAGAGAGCAAAGTGAATGTTCCTGATCCTGAAAATACTAATGAAAGAAAAAAGAAAAAACATTTTGAGGCTACGAAAAAGATAAGCAAAGACATCAAATATCAAATTCAAGTGTGCTTTACCTCTTTGCCTAACATTCGGAGCTCACTAGATGCGATTCCCAAGACTGATATTGTCCAAAATTGTGTTCAGGATTGGGTAAAAAATAATCTGGAAGAAATTGGTTACACAAAGTTCTTTATCAAATTTTTATCTAACACTATTCCTGATATCGAATGGACTCAAGTCCTTGCTATCAAAGATGAATGATCATTCGGATGGTTTTTGATTTAACAACTTCAAGTCGACAATAAAATTTTGGCATGTTGTTTTATGAACTTTGCATGAAAATTATTTATTGGACTCATTGATAGTTACTTGGGAGTGATTGCAGATTTTATCATTTATATGTCCTTCTAATAACCCTAATAATCTTATGCACTTACGTCCAGCAAAAATTATTTAAAACATTTTAGTGTAAAAATCACTCCTGCAAGAATGGCTTAAATATATAATGTTTGTATTGCATCATTAAAAATTTTTTTCTCATAGTATGAATTATATTAAACCTGCATGCATTTATAATAGCCAATTAATAGCACAATTTACCAATGCACATAATGGCACAATTTATTAATGACCTCTAATGTAATATAATTTATATATGTAGAAATTAAAAGGTCATTTTAAAAAGTAGGTGCCTACAAGCCCTATCGTTTACATATGTTTTTCAATGATAATAATAATAGTGGTGAAACCCAAAACGGAAGCTAATTCTTTCGCCACTTGCTAACTATGCTGTCGAATAGATAGAGGGTAGAGTAGCCAATCAAATTGATGCATTTTCCGAATACAAGAATGACTCTACTAAATATGTTTATGAGTAATGTGCCTGCAATTTATGAGTGTAACATATAAAATTTATATAAGTGACACGATCGAATTCATTACTAACTTTATTAGAATAATTGACAACTCAAGATAGAGCCTCTTTAGAAATTTAATAAAATAAAAACTAAGAACCTAATTACATGGACCGAGCATTCCCAGTAAGGCGAGTTATCTCTGATGCTAGAAATAAGTTTTTGGCAATTACATAGGTGATTACATATGGAGTGATTACATAGAGCGAGTCTCTCCAGCAGTATCAGAGCCTATTTTATCTGAGAAATATTATAAGCTTTTCTCCATTCTGCAAATTTCAACCAAGTGCGCCCATTTTTTTCTTTGGTAATTTTTGAATAAAAAAAATTCAGGTCTTTCACAGTTTGCAGGGACATAAGATCTTAACCTACGAATTGTAAACCATAGAGCTTTTAGTTGTAGGATAAAAAGTCCCTTAATAAAGAAAATTTGGAAATGACGTTTGAACTCAATTTTAGCTACAACTGTTTATTGAAATATCGTTTGCGCTGATTAAAAAATAGAATTTATAAATAGCTAAGGAAATTTGTTGAACACCCATTCAACACACTGTGAGAATTGTGCTCTCGTATAGACAATATTAAAATTGGTCAAACCAATCATTAAGACATTGCAATTCGTAATTATTTTACCTGGAGTCATGATGAACACTTTTCAATAAAAAATGTTTGTTTGTAAATTCAGTGCATAAAAGTACAAAATTTAAGTACACTATCATGCGTGCCTCACGTACATGCATCTCACATGACGAGACAAAACTTTATTGCGAAAAATATGAAAAATTTCTGTAGTTGGGGATTTTAATTAAAATAAAATATTACACTTGACAAATCGTCCAATCTGATTAGGGGGTAGCTGTAAACATAGACAGTTATATCAATGTAATATTTGCTTAAAATGTTAACCGTCGTATATTACAAGTAATCTTTTAATCTTTTGTAAAGTCAATACCGAGGGTATGTGTATGCAAGATGCAATTTTTGGAACATTATCAACACATCCTTGTTAATTTCATCAGCTTTATGCCGAAAAACTTTGTTAAATATTATTTTGAAAAAGCTTTTATTCTTTGAACTTACCTAGCAACATATTGAATTTGAATAGTTCGAATTTGTATAGTGTCGCTGTTCATTTCGACACTATGGGAGTCACCTACTGCGTTTTAAATTAAAAAGTTCAAGTGGTGACTTTAAGGTACTTTAATTATCAAATATGCCGTCCATTTCAAATGGTGATACCGACAAAAACAACCAACTAACACATCAAAGATGACACTGTGAATATATAGTAGCAAATTTCGTTTTTTTACGATGGTTCAAAAGAACTAAATCAGAACGTAGTCTTTTTGTTACTTCATAAAAGCACCGTCTTTAAACTGCTAGATTTATATGAAAGAATTTCAAAATACATTTGGCAATATTAGAGCTAAGTCAATTATAGATATTTGAAATAAGCACATTTAAGTGATCTTTGTGTAAATAAAACCAATAAGGTTGGGATAAAAGTTTTGAATAGAAATAAAATACGTTTAATATTTGTTCTCTCTTTACATATTGCGTTATGATAAAGTTTACTGTAAACATGATCTTGAATATTTAATAAAAGAAGCAACATTTCTTCTCACTTTTAACTAAAGTGTATAGCTATTTATATGATCTTTAATGCATCATTTCAATTGTTAATTAATCCTTGCGATTTTAAAATTAATATTATGTTTCACTGTCTTTGATATACGCAGGAAAGCTTTTTAACTTAGGAATTCAAATAACATGAGCGTACAGCTGTGTTTATTCTAATTGTTCAGATCAAAACACTCATTCAACTTTCTTTACATGAATGTAATTCATTGTTTTTATTACCATAATATTCGGCTCAAAGAAGTACTCAAAATGAAACTACAAAAAACATAAATATAAGTTTTAAGTTTCATGCATGCAATTTCGTTTGATGTGTTTACATTTTTGCATTTAAAACAGAAAAAAAATAAGGGCTTCAAATATTATGCATTGTAATGGATTTTATAATTTGCCTTCCAATATTTCACTCGCAGTTTTGTCCAATCATATTTATTGATTTTAGTGTAAATGGCATAGTAGGGGTTCGACAAGGTACCTTAATTTTGTTATTTTCATTTCTCTATTATTCCTATTATATAGCTTTTGAACTGATTCAGGTAATATTTGCTATATTACCAGCATCACAATATCATTAATATAGAATTCGCATTTAATATATACGACGAGTTTTTTTTAAAATAAACATGTTTAGACATCTCAAGATGCCATCTTCAGTATCAGTGAAATAATAAATAACACAAGGTTTATATAAAAGTAATATGATACATAAATTACAACAATAATAAGGAAATAAGATAAATTAATGGGGAGCGTCCGAGCGCATTATAAACTAATATAGAATTCGTCAGGTATATGCTATATTATAGAATATCTTTATAAACAACTTTATGAACAATGTATATTTTTGAATTTTTATTTTCTACTGAGCCCCACCAAAAGATACGTAGTCATAGAGCAGTAACACAGTTACTTAGGATAACTAATATATCGTTACTGATTAAAAACACCGTTTGAATTGAATCATCATTCAATTGAATAATCATTGAATCATCATCAGACTACGACAGATTTTATCTTTCACGCTCCTCGAGTGGCGGGATTCCTATTAAACGTTTATCGCCTTTATACTTTTATACACACATCGGCTTGAAACGCATAATAAAAATACATGTTCAATTCTTCTGCTGAAGTAGATGGTTGTCTTTATAATAAACAATTGCAGCTGAACGCTGCAACTAGAAAAACAAAGCTCGTATTGTACAAAAGTACCGTTTTGAAGCAAGTATGTGCATGTTCAATGTAAGAAGAGCAATTATCATACAACAAGGGTTAATCATTTACCAACTATGCCCAAATTTGCTTATACTAAATCGTATGTTAACTATACCAAGTTGCTTATGTCTACGAATTGGAATAGTTTGGACAACGGACGCAAAAAGCTAAAGCGGGCGGGACTTGTATAACGTTGAGGGATGGTGTGGTTGGAATAAATTATTGATAAATCCGAAAAAAACAAAGTTCATTATATTTGGTACGCGACAACTAAAGAATCTGCCAGATGATTTGTCTATTTAGTTTCTAGGAAAGTCTCTCACACCATCACTAAAGGATCTTGGCGTAACTTTGGATCGAGAACTCACCTTTGATGAGATATAAATAATTTGGTAAAGTGTTGTAATTACTTATTATGCCGGATCTCAAGAGTTAGACATCTGTTCAATAAAGAACACGTTGAAGTTATTCTCAACTCATTAGTCTTCATGTACACACATGAACTTTGTAGCAAGGACGTACGGGGCAATCTGCACTTGAAAAACTTACGAGAAAAATCACAAAAAGATGCCTTCGCATATTTCCCGCCATTGCAACAAACATAAAAGCATTTTTAAAAACCAACTTTCAAAGTTTAGGACAGTTTTACACACACTTCAAGCAGTCATGTTAACATGATGAATGTCGATACAAGTAAAATAACGCTCAAATTACAACGTTGTACGGTAAATGAAAATCGCTAAGGAACTATAAACTACTACAAGACGTACCGTCAGAAGGCAAGCCATCATAAGCTTGTAGATGACGTTAAACGTTGTAATGTTTTTAAAATGTTGCATTAATTTTTTTAACGTTTTTACGAAATTTCAATTTGACGTTGCAAATGTACTAATTCTCATGGGGATAGTGACTGTTGTCCTGTGCAAGACAGTAGACAGGACCCCCCGTAAGTTTCATATTGGAGCTACATTTTCCGGTTGATTATTGTATAGGGAGAATCTATGACCCTACAACAAACCTTTAGAGTTTCACACGAGTATCGTCACTTACCAAAGAATCCATCCCAATGCCTTACCATCAGGTTTCTCCATCTTCTTCAGATCAGCTTTTTGCCATGTTTTTCCTGTGGACACAAACATTTATCAACACAAGTTACTCTCTCATCGGTTAGCTGTACGAGAAGAACAAAAAGTTATCATGTAAGATCCCACCAAATTAACTTGTTTCCTTAAAGAAACTTAAAGTGAAAAGCTCTGTAACATTGAGAAAAGTGGGGAGACATCAACTTTAATGGAACAGTTGATCCTTAATATTGATTTTTGCGAGTAACTCTAAGCTTAAAACTTGAGCAGCGTCAGATAATACCATTGAATTGAATATAACAGGAAAGCTAAAACTTGAAACCAGCAAATACTGCTGATACCAATATTTCTACAAACGCCAATAAAAGACCATTAAGACAGTGAGCTAAAATGTCACGCGCATCTCAAGGTTAAATTTGGCTTAATGCAAGAACAGGTATATGCAGTTCAAAACTAAGCAGCCATCTTGTTATAAATTCTGTTTAATGATTTATGTAGAAAAAATCTTTCAACAACGAAAGAGTAAAATCTCCTAAATGAGATAATCTATAAACCATCGCTAAACATTCAAAAATTCACACAACAGTATTTTCATATCTCACTCACCTCCATCAGGAGAAACATCAACTCTGACGATACCACGTCCCCCACCACTCCAAGCATAACCTTTGACAGTAAACTCTTCAGTTCCTTCCTCGAGCAAAGCACTGTTCAATGGCTCATATATGGCAGACTGCACGGGTAGATCTTGTATGTATGGCTGTTACATGATAGCAACTACTGTCATTTAATATCATTATTATATCATATTATAATTTCATATGTTATTAGTTATGACGTTATCTAGAAGCTTGCTTGCATGCGCTAGAAGCTTGCTTACATGCGTAAACATATTTTAGAACCGCAACCGCATTTGTTGTTATTGTGGTTAACTACATCTTGATGTAACATACTGTATTGCAGATGGAATATAAGTCACAAAACCACAATACTTCCCATTAGATATTATATATACATGAGTAGTCTACACCACTAAGTACAACCTACGAGGACAACCTACGAGCAAAAGCTACGAGGAGACAAACTTAGGAGGCATAGCCTACCGAAGTAGGTTGACAAGCTACAATCTACCAGACAACTATCTTGGCTTCTGTGCCATAGCTATCTTTTGGCTTCTGTGCCTTTAACCTATTGGAAAACTATTGTGAGTCATCGTTGGACTCACGAACGCTCAAGAATAGAGACTCGCGGTTGTACTCAGACAGAGGAGATAAGTTTTACTCATACTTATTGATATTATTATTAAGACACTTATCTACTTCAATATTTACGCGTTGATTAATAAATTGTTTGAGAAAGATAACTGGCTCACACTATCTTTGTTGCGTGTGGAAAAAGAACCAAAATTAATAGTTATTCTTTCGGGACCACGCACGTAACAATGGCATGGTAACAGTGACGTAGCAATGGCGTAGAATGGCGTAACAATGGCATGGTCCACGCACGTAACAATGGTCCACTGTATCCCAGTCTGTACTGGGAGAGAATCCTTTGTAATAGTTTCGTTGCCAATGACAACAAGTTTCTTCGTCTGCTATCACAATCTTGCTTAACCATTTCACTTGACAGGCACCTACAACACCGGGTATTATGATCCTAACGGGTTATCCGTGATTATTGGGGATATCCTCACATTCATCGCAAAGGCTATCAATAAATCACTGCTAGGATCCAAAGCTTTCTTAAGCGATATGGAGGCACCATACGGAGCTTTTGAAACGTCCATATCTAAACCTTCAAACTGTATATGTTTTCCAGTGTAGTCACTTCTTTCTTTAAAACCAGCCGCCATCAAAACATCCCTTAACTTGACTCCAGTCCATTTCGCGTTTCCAATAGCACCTTCAGCCCAAGTCAAACCTTTAACTTTTTTAATACCATTCATTTCCTCTCGTCTATTTCCCGCGCATTGAAACGCTATCGTAAAAGTATGTTGCCCAAACTTCGTTCTTAGTTCTTCAAGATCAAAATCAATTGGCTTCCCGCCGTTCTCGAGATCGATCTGCAGTCGGTAGATCTTCGGATCGACCTCGGGCACCGCGAGGTAATTTCTGACGTAGAACAGCGTGTTAGGGGTAACGAGACTGTCCCCCAATAGGGAGAGTGGTGTTTCTTCATTGAAGGGCTTACTGTAGTGAACTACAAGCGATGGATGGCGTTCTGGATCGTTGCGGAACGGATCACTAAGATCGGAAATTGAACTTTTGTCTTCTGCTTGTAATTTGCAAAGAAATTAACAAAAATTGAAGATTGACAAACGAATTAAAAATGACAACATTTCACAAGTACCTTTAATTCTCCAATCCTATTCTTTGCAACATATTACGGACTTCCTCAGTTTGATGAACTGTATACATTGGCCAGAAAGGCTCTGTAGCCCCCCAATGCAGCCAGTAAAATTTTATTTCACCCAGGATGTTGGTCCTCAAACTTAGTGATGTCATATACCTGACCTTCAAAAGTCCCCCATACACCATTTTCCAGAGAATTATGTTGGGCAACTTTCAACTTTGATCGCGCATTTAATGTATTTTGTCCATATAGCAGATTTACACCAGTTCCAAGTGAGCCTGCAACTTTGCTGGCCCGAAACAACTGTCTATTTCTTGAAGTTTTGGTTGTTGTTTGAAGATTACGAGTGGTTTGTGTCCACCCAATCTACAAACCCCCACAGCATTCTTTAGGAAGTCTGAGAAAGGAAATCTACTTCTTCTGCATTAAGAGATCACCCAGACCTACATGTTTAACAGAGAATTTCATATTTATTGTTTCAAATATTTTCCTATAACTATTTCTTAATTCTATTTGTGCATTTGAGCAGAGACAGCAAAGTTATTCAGCTTTATAACCACTATCATGTTAGCAAGTACAATATATTAAGATATCTTTACTCTAAAGTAAATGGTTTGAACTTCGGAGTATCGTTGCATGTTTGCGTGTAGAATGACTAGAATATGAGAGATTTATAGATAACAGTGTTTCCACGTCCCCTAAGGCATCTTCGAAATGTTCGAACTTCGAAGGTAAGTTTTGTAATATTTCGAAACTTTTTTTCAGTTTTTTTTACAGGTTTAAAAGGTATTTGGAATTATTAGGCCTTTTGTACAATAACTTTGTTGGGTTACAACTTTCGTATTGGCTAAAGATTTACACTTGGTAGAGAATCATTGTGTTTTTTTCTGAATTCAAGCTAGTCCTCGGGCCTTTTTCAAGTTTTTTGCGCACTTAAAGTTATATCTTTATGTCTTGGACATTTTGACGTTGATCTGACAACAGAGAGGCTTTGGAAGCGTTCAAGAGTTTCGGGTGTTCATTATTTGTCATGTCATAACGCAGAAAACTTAGAATAGTAATAAAATCGTTTCATATTTGTTATATTAAATGGCATTTTTTCTTCTTTTTCGAGTAAACATTACAAATATCCTCCAAAATTCCCGTTGTTGTGCTTTACATACATTTGACTTGCACAATTTGTCAATGTTTAAACTTTTTAAAATTTCCTGGTTCACAGTGCCCGTTCAATACTTTGAAAATTTGGTGCACCTATCATAAACGTTCAGGTAAGAAGCTCAATTTGTGGATGTCTTTCCTACAAGGAACTCTCACACTTCAAAAATTGTGGGTGTTTGGGCACCCAGACATCCAGAGCTTCCTATAGCCTGAGTGAAAGAATCCTGACATGGACCTGGACAATGGTGTAAGCAACAAGTTTGGTCGCGCTATGATTGCTATATGTAATCGCTCTCTTTCAATTAAAATATCTTCACAAAGGTCTCATCAACTTGCAAAGTAATATTGCACATTGTGTTTATACAAAACGGTTATATTGGGCAACTTGCAGACGAAATTGGCAAAAACAAACATTGAAGAGTCACGCCAAACAAGTTTGCCATGAATGCATCCGTCCATTTGAGCGGCTAACTTTTATGAATTATTGCAAGCAAAAATAAAACATAACGATAAAATCAAGATAATTAAAACATAAACAAATGCAAGATAATTAAAACGTTTAATGAAGGCATTAAAATATGATCTTCCTGAATATATGACACATATGTTTAGAATTTGTGGTAATGAAGTTTATCCACTGTGAAAGTAATTGATTACAAAATAACGCACAAATGTGGCAAAAAATAACAACAAATTTTTTAAATTTGGCAAGCTAAATTTAGTAAATTATAAGCACGCGAGCAAAAACACATAATATGCAATTTAGGCGAGATCGTACAGACAATAAATGAAGGTATAGACAATTACTGGCCGTTTTGGCAATGAGCACCTATAACGGTAAAGTTTTTTGTGGCATTTTGACACAAAGTTATTATTCTTATTGATATTATTTGAGTTTATGTTTCGTTATTACGACACATGCTATTAAAAACGTAAAACTTCACCGAAAATTTTGCTAAAAAGAGTTTTCATATGACTCTTCTGTTTACCAGTTAATAAAAAGTTAAGCCTGATACACTGTGCTTGTATAATTGTATTTAGTCAAGTTCGATAATACTTGTTTATCTTAGTCTCTTTTAAAATCATCGTCAATAGCACCCTAATCTTCTGCATATCCTTTCCATTTCTATTCTCTGCGATGTTTTGAATCTGCATAAGTAAATCTCTTTACAGTAGTGTCCACTCCATCATACAAATCATCTTATGTATGCCCTTTGCTATACATTTAGCTATGCATTTACAATATGCTTTAAATTCCTGTGTTAATTTCTAAAGTGCTCCAGCATCCTATTTCTTCGTTTAATCTGTCTTTCTCTCTGCTTTTCTGCACGTCTTTATTTCATCAAGTTTTAGTTTTTGTACGACAGCCCTCTCTCTGATCACGTGTTGTATTCTAGTCATTGACAGCACATTTTGCCCACCGCCACTAGTCACTGAACTCCTCATATTGCATTATTTAAATAATATGTAATCCATCTGTGTTCTCTTACATAAACAAGAATTTGGACTGAATGCAATGTTTTCGATAAAAGTCTCCCATTTAAAATATCCTCTTCACTTTATAACATTTGTATCATGAAACTGTTTCATTTACCAAGATTATTATAAGCAAATCTTATATTGAACATTAGACTGCATAGACAAAAAATACCAGTAAGAGATACGACGTGGCATATAAACACAGATTGAACTGAAATACCGTTGTGAAACATCTCGTGTCCAATTACGGAATTTTAAAATATAAATGGCGAAAGGGGTTCGAATAAAATAAAGATTTTAATGCATCTATGATTTAACAATATTGACATGAATTGCGTCGATAATGGCAAACTGTTAAGATGAAAGGTTAAAAACATTAACTTTCGCTATAAGTGTTGCATGACCAAGTTAAAAGGTGAAGTGGATAAGTGGTGTAAACAAAATTTAATTCAATGTTTGAAGTAAAATAAGGAAATGTTGTTTCTTCTTTCTGATGAGAAATATATTTCAGGTTTTTGTCATGTTTATATTTTGTAATTTATATTTATAAAATAAAATTTAACGCTTTTTACACACTGATTCATTCTATTAAGCTAAAGTCTGAACCATAGCCATAAATCATACAGGAGCTATATGCACAAGAGTCTATATAATGCCGCTGTACATTTACATAAGAAATGGAGAAGTTCATTGTAGACATGCAATTTAGAAATGAGATCTCATACTAATTTTACATGCAGAGATGTAAAAATAAAATTTTATTGCCGCAAATATTTAAGAATTTGAGCGAA